TATATAAGAGACGATAAAATAGTAATTATACGTAATTTATTCGAATAAAAAGATTAATACCATACTACACAAGATAGTTTATAGCTATGATGCATCTGTTACAGAGAAGGGTCGCGTAAATCGTAAATTGCGTCGTATCAATCATTTCGTCCGGCGTTAATGAAGGCAATGTCGGGTACATTTAATATTATGGAGCTGGAGTTCTGCTATAAAATACGGTCGTATATCTGTACGGGCTTAAGGCAACAAATAAATATATCTTCTTAAGTTTTAATATCTGATTAACTTTACCTTATTTTTAGAGAAAGTTATTTTTGGTCCGTCATAAAAATTTCATGACTTGAAAAGAAAGAATAAAATAAAATAGTACAACTTTTATTGAAAAGAAGAGAAAACGGACCGGCATTTTTATTGTCATCTAATTACGCCTGGTGTTTATACTGAAAATACAAGGGCCGCTTGTCTACAGCACGGAAGCGGTGCGCTGTAGCCGACGATTGATTTCCGTTAACGATCCGCCGTCGTATTGCCGGCGTTTGTATGGAAAAAGTTGTTGCTAACGTTATAAAACACGGAAAAACATGACACCGTGCATCCTGAGAAATTCTAGGAGTCAATTCCCTAGCGCCCGACAGCGCTAAAGCGGCTTACAGCATTAAAGCATCGCTATAACGCGACGTTATAGCAAAAAAGAGGCAGCATGAATAATTGACACATTCGATATCGGCGGCTGCTTCGTGAAAAATTTAGTATCAACATTTTCATGTCGGGGTCATTTTTAAGTCGGAGAGCGTTCGTAGCACGACAGTTTTCCTTGGATAGCGATTTAAACACAATCGAATTTCATAATTCTTGGATATCTTTTTGGTATATTATGGCGTATTCCTTTATTGCGTGCTATATGAAAAGTTTACCTAGCTAATAACATCCTATTTGTTCTTATTTCTTCGTTTATCAGTGTTTCATGTGTTTTTAGTTTGTGTTTGTATTGTTCTACTTCCTAGTACTGACTTTTATCTTTGTATATTTATCAATTATGATGTTTACTTTGCGGGTAGAACGCTGTCTTCTTAATTGCATGTAGCCCAACATTTTATTGTTAGGTATGTAAGCTACTTGAAAAAGAACGCACCTACACGCTGGCCACCTGGCTTCCGAAAAGCAATTGTCACGCAGAAATTCATTTCAAAAACTATTAAGTATATATTTGAACATGTAAAGAAATTGTACTCATATTTATCTATATATATTAGTATATGTATATTTATATCTATAGACGTTTGCTCATAGCACATGTTCAAATTTCAATATATTCATGTGTTAAGACTTTGGTAGTAAAAATTTGTATATTATATTATTAGTTGTAACAAATATATATATATATATATATCCTTGTCCCCATGCCAACAAACAAAACTGCAACACCTGAATGACAGCTCATTCTTCAAAGTTCTCAATTAGCAAAGCAGCAACAACGCGTCTTCCTCTATTACAATTTTTCTCCAAGTCTTCTATAATATTGTACACATTTCTATTATTCATATTTTCATTATAAATTAATTAATAAAAATATTTCTGTGTCCCATAAGCAGTTAACCTTTAAAGATGGATGTCAAAAGATGGAGAATTGAAATGGATCTTTTGCTTCTTAGCTGTGGTGCTATCATCAATTTTCACCGTATTCGGAAACTCATAGCAATTCCCTAAATGGTTTATCAATGGAATAGCTTCAAAGTCTTTCCAACTGTTCGTCTGTAAACCATTTATAAACGTTTTTTCTATAAATACGAATATACATATATTTATTATTATAGTTATATATATTTATATACATATATACATATATATATATATATATATATATATATATATATATATATATATTGTATAGACTAACGAGCTAGTTAGCTTGTTTATATATATATATATATATATATATATATAATAATTACTAACGGGGTTTTAAAAACCGATAGATATATCCTTTCAGTTCCCTCTTGCCGAAAAGCACTCAGCACTTCGGGCGGTTTATTGCGTGTTCAGTAGATCGAGACAGAAAAACGGTCGTAGTTTAGCGGCCCATAACGGAAGTCTACAAGTCTTTCCAAAATGAATTATCGGTCAAAAAGTCAAATTCATTCTATTCATATTCCATTGATCAATTGACATGTCATCATATTTACTCGATAGCTAATGTTACACCCTATTTGTTCGCGTTGCTCCAAAGTGGTATTTTGTCATTCAGCGATATGTTCTTATTAAACATAATTGAAAGACCTATGATCTCTTGTCAAAATAGTATTTTTCCCCTATTAAATAAATGCTCATTTAATTCTTTTGTAATTTATTTACAAATAAATTTATAGTTAATAGTTTTCTCTTATAAATCTTTGATGGGGAATATACAATTTTTTCTGTCTATCCATATATGGATATATAGAGTAAGGCGACAGATAAATACAGTTGCAGCGACGGTGTAAAAAAACAAGTAACCATCTATTAAAGCAATTAATATAAAAACGCCTCGCAGTAATTCAACCGTTATTATAAAAGGGGTACTTTTGTTTTTTTTATCTAGCATTTATATACATACATCACACGAAAGGCACATTTTAAAAAGCCATTATTTTATTAAGTATGGCGCCGCTTAACTAATTTCCCATCGCGTGACGGCAACCAATATAAAAGTTGTTTATATTTTTTTTCCCAATACTAACTAGCCGGATTGGGCGGACAGGCTTATTTCGTAATTGTCATGTTTTTGTTTAGCTTATGTATTATTGATGTCCGTTTAGTTGCTGATCTCCAACGTGTATAGTTTTTACACACATAAGCGGAAAAAGATGGCGATTCGTCTAAATTAGATTAAGGATTAGATCGATCCAACGTCTTTTCGCTGCATGTACAAAAAAAACGGACAAGTTCGATAAAGACTATCGATATAGCGAATTTTCCTATATCGGTTTATTGAATGCGTCTTTTTCACAGCAATGTAAGTTTTTGCTAAACGATGATAAAGAAATATTTAGCAATAATTCTTTAACTCGTTCAATTTTAACATTTCTCTTATATTGCAATTTTTTCAATTATTCTATTCACTCTATCACCTACATTTTCTCGTTCTCTTCTTTATTTTATTCCTTCATTCTCTCTCTCTCTCATTCGTTCTTGCTTTGTACTCTTCTCTATCGTCTGAATTAAATTTTTTTGCATTTTAAGGGATAATAAAATTTTTCAAAATAACCATATTCGGCGTCTAATCACTTATTATTTTTAACTTGGTTGTAATCTTTTATAAATTCAATTACTATCATTATTTTTAGATACAATTAGCACATGATTAAAGAGAATAATTTCTAATGTATTATTAACTTATGAATATATTTAAATAATATATATATTTATACATCTGTATATAAAGACCATGTAAACCTATACATATATATATATACATATATATATATATATATATATATATATATAAATTTATATATATATTACGCGTACATATGACTATATACATATCTAATAAAAAACTGGTCATTCTAGTATGTATTCTATGAGAACTGTTATTCAGTAACCATTCAATGTATTTAGAAATTATAAATAATTAATAAGGATCATGAGAATTCATTCATTTTGAAAAAATGCATACTTGGCAATATTAATTGCGTAATCCATACACTTATAAAATAATTATCATTATATTTTTAATAATATACTTTTTCTTCTTCTTTAGTTTATACAATCCATAAATAAATATTTATTTATTTATATTGTTGATACACAAACATGCATACCTATCATTTTTAGATTGAAAACTATTTTCTGATGACGAATACTAAATTGTCTAAATCGAATGCAGGACAATAAAAAAGCTGAATAAAAAGTTTTTCTTGTTTGAACTAGAACTACGAGTTTATGAAACCTTTATCTTATTTATTTATATGAGTAAGAAAAGGAAAATTGTACATGAACGATTGATCGAATTACAATTTTGCTTGAACAAATGTATATTCCACCAGCACGGCAAGTTTTCAGCTATCTTCTCGGTGTTTGTCGTAATTGTTTGTTGGAAAGCGGTCGAGTGTTTGTGGAGAATATTTACACTTCTGGGAACGGTCGCGTGGCGTGGCACCTGTCCCCAGATGGCAGAACGGTTCTTCCCGGGATGAGTTTTTTACACCTATACTAGCACACATGGGAAATCAGAAAGAAAGCCGGCTGTCACACTGCTTTTCGGTTTTATTTCATTGTAGCGCAAATTTTTTTCCAGTATGTACAAAACGTTCACGAAATCTTTAAATGCACTTTAAAAACCATAAAAAAAAACTGTATATAGCACACCAAACATTGCAACATACGCTTTTTGATAGGTGAACAAAGCCTATATTCATCAAAAGCTCAAGAGGCGTGCCGCCCTAATTAATTATTTTCTAATAACGGTAGCCGAAACTGGGCAGATGTATGATGACTCCTCAAGGGACGTCGGCATTTGGCAATGGCTGTAAAAATGCATGTTTTTATTGTTTGAAGGCGGATCGACTTTCGCTAACTTTGCCCCTTTTGTTTTCAACTGACATTTATTCATTATTACAGTTCATAGTTATTCTTCAAACTATTAACATGCTCTATTCACTATAATAGATAAAAAGAGATCAAATAAAATTGACAAGCGAATTGAAAAGGTAGTTTTTACATTGGCAAAGACAGTGAAGCCCAGCAAAAAGTGTTTCCCCATACATATACAATGTACATGTTAATATACATATGCGTATAAGTATAAGTGAAATATAAATATATATAAATATATATATATATATATATATTTATATATATACATGAATAAATAAATAAATAAATATATATATATTTCACACACGCATTTATTTAAACATACAAATTTATGTATAAATAAACATGTGTATATTATTAATTATAATTAAATATAATTAAAGATATGTATACGTTAACATGTAGATATACATATACATATTCTTATACATATATATATATATATGTATATATGTATAGAGTAGCAAAAGATATAAAGAAGCAGTCAAGATTCGTTATCAGTGGTGATGTGGCATCATATTGGCGGAAAATTTCATTCTTTTCTGCTTCTGCCGTTGGTTGCAAAACCAAACCCTAACTACATTCTTTTTTAAATCTAGTTTATCAGCGATTTGCGCAATTTTTTCTCCCGATGGTCGGGGTTGAACAGCAAAATAGGCTTCTAAAGATCTTTTCTCTGGTGCTGCTATAGAAGTTCTTTTCCTCTTCTTATCCGTAACAGTATTAAAAACTTCAGCGTGATGCGCGTGCGCCTGTCTCTCTGCTTCGTCCAACCAGGCAGCGAGTACTGGTTTGAGGGCAATCATGTTGTTGTGGCTTAGGGTTAATGACTCGAAACGGCATATTGTGCTCTGACTAAGAGAGCCGACGCCAGGTAATTTGAGGTTACCTAAAGCTTTTCCAACATCTGCTTGCGTGACACCCAACTTGATCCGTCGCTGCTTAAATCTTTCGGCGAAAGCTTCTAATTCGCGAGGATCGCAATCCAGTTCGTGTTGATGAATTGCAGAAGATGGACTACACATGACGGATGAATGTTGACTATATGAAGCGTACATTTGGGCGTGGGAAGTGAGCATTGAACAGGCATGATCCGGAGCAACAGCAGGAATAGGCATTGATGATATTTCATCTAACATCGATCCTCCGTGATGTCCTATACCGGGTTGCGAGTAGATGTTTTCGTGCTTCATGAGAGGGGTCATTATCTTACCGTCCATAGATAAAGTCTGCTCCATATTCGGCGTGTACAATTCGGCGGTCTGTATCGGAAAAGCGCGGAAATTGTGCAAACAATAGCAAAAAATATCGGTTTTCCGATCGAAGTTGCTATAAAACGATCGCTTAACACGGGTAGATAAGGATCGCGCCCACTTACGGTCGTCATCCTGTAGCGCGGAAGAGTAGCCTTATCTGCAACATCCATTTCGCGTTTGTCTAAGGGCACCTGTTAGAGGGTCACGTGGTGCGATTCACGCATGCGCATTGAGTGAACAAAGCAGCACCGAAGCGTTTGTAGACGCTTTTAAACAACTCAAACATATACGTTATGCAGGTGGGACTTTGATACGGCTGCGAATGAGACGTCTATATACATGAAATAATGAGCCGGAGTGATTAAACGTTTTCCGCTTTGTAATTACGTTGTTGACCAACACGTGCCTAACGCTAATGGTCACTCGATATTTTCCTTAATCGCCATATAACGAATGTGTTTACTCGCAAAATAAACTCCGATATTTTTCCTCTTTCAGTTTGTTCGTCTAACAATAGATCCCTGACGTTTTCTATCATTTTTTCCGTATACGTAAAAGAAATTGAAATTGAATATTCACCTTAAATTCCTATTTAGAAATCGCAATGTCGACTTCATTCATAAACCTATTATATAATCATCTACAATGTTTAATACGTTTAAAATACAAATGTATATGTATAATATATATATATATATATATATATATATATATATATATATATATATATATATATATATATATAGAAGGAGAATTTTATCTATTTGCATACAGTAAGTGTTATATACTGTTTGTTTGCAAAAAAAAAAAGGACTGGACCAATTGCCTATTGTGTCAAATCTCTTGTCTATTTTTAGTTTTGATTTTGTTGTCTATAAAAAAATTTGTCTAAGTGAATTCCGAGGAGGACTGTCAGTTCCGTTATATTCTAAGAGATTATCCTCGCTATACGCTCTTTCTCTTTCAATCATCTCGAAAGCCCTTCACTAAACGCCGAGCGACGCTTGACTGCTAAATAAACGCAGTCAGCTGCTAGAATTCCAGCTTTTCTTTTCACTTCCGGTTTCGAATTTTATACCAAAGAAATAACGCTCAAGGGAACGCAAACGAAATTATTTTAATAAAATAAGGGCGAAAATTTTGGTTCCCTTTCGACTAGGCGGGGCATCGTGGGAAGTGATCTAAGAGAGTATGAATGGTAGAGTGCACTTAGTCGTATCTAGTTCAGAGCCCTTAGACGCTGTAATCTTCTCAGAAAGACAATTAGCTTATTAGGCGAGCGTCATTTAGAAGTAATTCAAGACGAAAACGAAATTGGTAAAAGTGGCGGAAGAGACAGCAGCTGAAACTGTCTGCCGACTTCCGCCCGATATTTTTCTTCTTTGCTGTACATGTATCGAGGATTAACAGAATGAGGAAAAGAGAGGAAACTTTGATATCGACATTATGCTATCGCCATTCAAATTAAACTCGTTAAATCGCGCTAACAGTAAAATTATGGAGTTGACAAGATTAAATATATTTACATAAGTATGGTTCCCGGATGTGTCTAGTTTATCTGTGAATTACTCGTTGAGCAAATAGATAAAATAATTGAGAGGTTGAAGGGAAACTAAATGCGAAGAGCTTTAAAGAGAAATAGAGTGGAATGTAATGGGTTAGAGCATAGTTATTTGAGATTTGCCAATGGGAACTTTGTAGATGTGGCCCTTATTTCTCTATGCCTTTACAGTATATATCTTTCTCTCTCACGCGTATAATGAAACGTTTAAAAAATTCACGACTCCATATAATAAAGGCAAGGTACTTTCGTCCGCGAAGTCATCTTTAATTTACAGTACGTCTATAACATAAAAGGCGGCCAGGCGGTCTCTGCATATTCCATTCCAACTCCTCCAGTCGAAGAGAACGGATTATTATACTGTTTAGGCAAACTCACCAAAAATATCTTGGTCTGGGAGTCTTAGTATACGCCGCCGCCATCTAGCGGATTAGATGATTTCTTAGGTAAGTTCTTACGTGAGTCGATGTGTCAAATCGAGTAATAGACTTTATCGGTAAATAAATGGTCGTTTAAGTTATTACTAATAATTGGTTATTGCTAAACTACATAAAGTAAGAACAAAGAAGACGCAATAATGCATATAAAACAGACAATAATTAAAGTATCATCGGCTGACAATGAACAAATCAATATAGTAAAAGAACAAAAAAAAATTTTTTGTCATAGAAAGAAAGATAAAAGGGTAAAAAGTTATGGATATAAATTAAGAGGAACAGGCATGAACTTTAATATCCAACTGTTAATATTCCTTTAATGACAAAAACGTCAGACAGGAAAATTGCTGTTGATAGCCTTTTATAATAACTGGGCGTCTAGTTGCGAGTTTTTGGAACGCTTATCTATCAGACGCCAATACAGCGTTTGTCTGCCGCAAATGATGACAAACGACGCGGGCAACCCGACCTTAGGAAGAGAGCTTTTGATGATCGGACGTCGGTCGGAAATAGACTGGGAGTATACAATTTTTTCTTACCTGTACTTAAAAGGTCGTTGAGGGTGATTTGTGGCAGGAATGATAAGTCGAATCCGATTAGTTTTCAACGTGTTTGTCTGTCTTGAATGCTGTCGGTTGAAAGTGGACGTATTATACTCTTAAGGAAGCAGCTTGTATTTCCAACTGAAATTTATAGCAAATTAACTAAATATATATACATATCCGTGCGTTAATCAATATAACGCTTTTTTCCCCGTACCCAATGACCATATGAGCAAACATTAGGAAAAATGATTATTAAAATTGAACTAGTCGAGAAGGAATCGAAAGCTTTCTAATAGAAACATAACATACCTCATATTCACTTAAAAAGGAATTTGTTTTTTACTACTGTACAAATTACAGACTATTATGTTCATTGAAAAGAAGAATAGTATTCATAATTACTTGAACAGTTTACATATATTTAAAGGAGACTAGTATTGTTTTCCTACCTGTCTACTGCAAAGCTTTATGTACTAGTTGAACGCCGGTCTGGTGATCGACTGCACACACCGGACGCGTATGAACGCGCGCATTAAGGCACATTAGCGCGTCGGACGGCGTGAAAGCAAACGTCATGACAAATGCAAACATTAGGCGTCCACCTTCATCGACTTGTTTGCCAGCATTTCTATCCCGGCATTATTGCCTTTAAACCGCATGCTAAATTGCTCTTCTATTCTTTTCCGAATGTTGTCGCACCATCGTTACGCCCTAGGCCGTATTTACCCGGCAGTAAATTGCCGTTTGTATACATATACATTTACTCTGGGAGGATCGATAGCTGAGTACTCTGGCAAAAGCTTACTGACCTTTTGTTTGAATGTCATGAAAAATGCAAAGCGTTCAACAAATTGGTGAAATGTTTTATTTTGATTGTAGGACTAAATAGAATTTCTGCAAAGTCTGTTCTCTTTCCTCTTTTTTTTATTTCCCAATGTAAAAATTCTCCTTTCATTTTTTTATCATCCAACATCGCCGGAGGATACTCAATTTATAAATAAATAGCTAAAGAACAGCCGCTAGGTGTCACTAGGTGATTGACGGGTATTTTTTTTTGAAGCATTGTTTCCATACGGTAAGTGGCCATTGTTGCGGGACATGGACGTACTTTGAACGCCCGGAGGCGTTGCGATGTTTCAACTTATCACGCGAATCACTAAATACGTTCATGAACATAAGGGTATAGAGTTTTTTTTTGGGGCAGCATTTAATGGACGTCGCGGAGCTGTAAAGGGTACTTAAGTCGACGCTTGTAGGCAGCGCTGAAACGCGCTTTGAGACGTTGAGAATGACTGTTGAGTGCTGTTTCTTTTGCGGTTGGTAATTTGTAATGGATAGGAATTATATTAAGGGGTTTTTCTATACTGTTAAAGGGCAGTTTTCGCCAACTAACAATATAATAGTACATCTTTCACTATAGGTTATTAGTTAAAAGAAAGAAACGCGAGTATTGCATCTATTAGCAAAGGTGGATAGTTATTGATGGTAATATAGTCATAATGCGTAAACTGATGACAGAACAAGCGAATTGAGATGAAAAGGAGAGAAATGATTGTGGACACGCGCCCGCCATATTGCTTACCCTATCAACACTATTGTCTATGTAAAATCTCTTAGACGAGATGTTTAAACGTTCGCACGAGACAAATAAGATGTCACGTGACTGGGAGTCGTTGAAAAAATTGCTGCGTGCATTGGATCAAAAGGTCGTCTACCTGACCGACGTTCGTTGAAACTTCAAAGAAATTGTACGCGCGTGTTTCGGTGCGTATAAGGTAGCCTTAATTTATCAAGTGTATAGGCTTTAAGAAATAAATAAAGGGCATTAAAAGCTTCGCCTGCAAGATGGTTCGACGAACAAAAAGAAAGATTTGAATAAAAAAAAAAACGACATGTGGCCAGTACACGAATCTTGCATATGGAGCGTCTCATGAAATTTTCAAGCCAAAACACTCTGTCCGTCACTAATTCTATTTCCGAAACAGCACTGACTTGTTGCCGCGGTTGTGCCCTTTGAGAAATGAGCGCCTTCAGACCGCCTTTCGATTTCGTATCTTTATCCTTGTTTACGTTCTCTCTCCACTTATTTTCCACTATATAATTATTGAATTTTACGCGTTATTACATCTTTTCTCCTATTTTTTTTGTATCTATTAAAGAATATGAGACTATCTGTAGATAAACTGTATATATAGATACATTTAAATATGTGTTTTTCTTTATGTATATATATATAAAAACTAATATATTTATATAACATATATATATAATATCTCTATAATCTGTTATTAATCTATTCTATTAATTTAATAAATCTATATTTGTCAAGTTTAAAAATCTGTTGTTATCCCAATAATTTTATTATGAATTGAATTTACTATTACGCAACATGTTTTGTTGGAGAAAGCCTACAATCTAACTGAAAAAGAGAATAAAGTAATATTTTTTTAAATAATTGATCACTTATCTATTCATGGAAAAGGGAGCTTGGGAGAAAGAGTAGAAAGAGAGAGCGAGCGAGTGAGTGAGCGAGAGAGAGAGAGAGAGAGAATAAGAGAGATATATGACTTGATAGACAGATAGACGAGTATAATAAAATAAAGGAGGAAAAAATATGACAAGTCGCAACAAGAGAGAAGCCGAGAAAGAGAAAGACAGCTAAAGAATAATTGTTTTAAAGTAAACTACTGGAGAGAAAGAAATCTGTTAAGGAAATAGAAGGGAAAACCTTTTGCACTATATTTTTCTAATATTCCCAGCAGTTGTACCATGGTGCCATAATTTATTATGGTAATTTCATTACTTTCTCCCTTTTTTCCTGATTAGCTGATCAGATATCATTAAAATAAACCTTTTCCTGATTTTGAACAATAGAAAGGAATTATTTAAATACATTCAAAATAAATAAATATGTTTTAATGAAATAAACATGACCCATGTTTTCTACATTCAAGAATTGAAGAGGGAAGAAAGTGGTTGCATGAACAATATTTATTACGTTAATTCTTTTTAAGCTAAATAATTTTGTGGCTTGATTTAATAGTAAATCGATTAATTGATCGATTTGATTGATTTGATTTGATTAAAGGATGAAAATATTTCATTGAACCAACGAACCATACAGCGCAGTCTGTTTTTTTTTGTAAGTTGGAAATATAGCTATCAATATCTGTTGAAAGGATATAGTTTATAACATCATCATCAATTTTTCCCATAGCAATTTTGCTCCAATTTTACAGTTGGAATATCTGTATAAGAAAAGCGGCTTTTGATCTATCCCCGACCGTCTCCCGGCGTCTTTTCCCCTACTACAAAGGCGTCGACGATGCATTAGGAGAGACGCTTTAATCCGACCGTCCCAAAGCGTTCGACGTCGACCCGCTTCTGACCTCTGTAACGCCGATTGCCAATCTGAGCGTTACTAGAGATCTTGCTTGTTAACGCCGTGTCCGTTCCGGCGTCACTTTTCATTTGCGACTGCTTAATTTTGTTATAGGATGCCGGAGATTGGCGAGAGTATAGAAGAGATTTAGTTCTTTGTAGAGTAAATGCAAATGCAAATGTTTTCCTCCCATGTAAATCCAAACTCTTGGCTTTTGTTAGTCAGTCTATAAAGGCCTAAGCACAAAGATATTCGGAGTATAGAATACTAAATTAGAAAATAATTGAGTGTCAATATATTTTGCGTACGTAATGTATATATTTTCATATTATTAAATAAATGATAAATATTTAAATATCTTTAAACAGATTGGAGGGAGTAAAAGAGATTTATTCATAAATCCTGCAAAAACCAAAAAATCTTTCTTTTTTCCTTTCTTTCATCTGACTTGCTTTTGAACTATTTTAAATATCTCATGCTTAAGCCGTATTTCTAGCGAAATATATACTTTGTATACTGTAATAGTTTTATGTTTTCACTAACAAAACAATAATAAATTAAAGAAAAATTCACTGTCTTAAGAATACTTGTATAATTTTTTTCTTTATTAAAAAAAGAAAAAATTTTCCCTGTAGCTTTTTGTTTTTTGTTTTTTTCATTTCCTTTTTCTTTTAGATAAATTTTTTTTTTATAAAAAAAAAAAGTTTTGGTTCTCGCAGATAAAAATTATTATTAAAATTGTAAAGTTTTTTTTTTTTTCGTTTCTCAGAATGGAATAGGTTTCTAATTTGTTTTTTGTAGTTTTTTTTGTTTTTCTCTTCGTTTTTTTACTTGTTTTCTTGATTTTTGCTTTTTTTCCTTTTAAATATAAAAAAGAAAACGGCACGAAACAATAAACTGAATAAATAACGTTACGACTAGATTTACTTACAATACATACATGTATACAAATAAAAATTTTTACGGCACAGCAGCAGTGTGTACACTTATTTCTGTGATGGTGATTGAAAAGCTCGTTTTGTGACTTCCTCTAACTGCATGACTTCATAGGCAAGAACGCAGGCCGATATATATTATCTTCTTCGTATAAGAAAAGGAGAGAGACAGAGAGACAGATAGAGTTGGAGATGGAGAGAAGGGGCGAAGAAAGGAGGGGCGGAAGAAGACAGAGAAAGAGAAATAAATAGATACATAGGTCATTACATAGATAGATAGATAGAGATAATTTTTCTATATATGGACCTGGAGAATAAAAGATTACATTATAAATTATTAGATCCATTAATTATTGAAAATTTCACCTGATCAGCAGTGAGCCGGCAAATTAGAGAACTTCATTCTTTTCTGCTTCTGCCTTTGATTGCAAAACCAAACTCGAACTACATTCTTCTTTAAGCCAAGTTTTTCTGCGATCTGTGCAATTTTTTCACCAGATGGTCGCGGTTGAACAGCAAAATAGGCTTCTAATGATCTTTTCTCTTGTGCAGTTATTGACGTTCTCTTCCTTTTAGCATCAGCGGCTGAGCTAAATATTTCGTGTGATTGTTTATTTTCCCTTGCTTGTCTTTCAGCCTCATCTAACCAAGCAGCGAGTACTGGTTTGAGGGCAATCATATTGTTGTGGCTTAAGGTTAATGACTCGAAACGGCATATTGTGCTCTGACTAAGAGAACCAACGCCAGGTAATTTCAGATTGCCCAAAGCCTTGCCAACATCGGCCTGAGTAACGCCCAATTTAATACGTCGTTGTTTGAAACGCTCGGCAAAAGCTTCTAATTCACGAGGATCGCAGTCAATTGTATGTGAAGACTGCATTGTGTGGGCGGCTGCAATAGCAGCATGGGGAGACTGTTGAACACAACCGCTATAAGGTGATGCGTAGACCATTTGACCAGCTCCTGGATGAGAATGGGACGCTAAACTGTGCACTGGAGGCTCGAAACCCGTCATTGGTACAGACAGCTGCTCTAACATAGTGTCTGCCTGACCGAAAGCGTGTAGACTCATTTGACTGCGCGGACCACCCGATGCTGTCGTCGTTGACATATCGTACTGCAAGCTCTCGCCTTTAACATGCTGAGCAGCTTTAGCAAGATCCAAGTCATGCCTTGGAAAGAAGTTTGCGTCTATACCCGTCGAAAAAAGATCCGTCTGTTGGAAAAGAGACTAATTTAAAATTCATTTTCATCAATCGATACCCGAAACGACGCAAAAGCGTGTTGAGAGTCATTCTAAAATCTCATCAACTCTATAGGCGTATCAGAATATTGACTTGTAAACACAGTCATTAATCTCGTTAAGTTTTCCAATATTGGCAAACAATTTTCCGTAAGAGACGCCTATTTTTATGCAAAGAAAAACAAAGTAGAAAACTTCTTTTTTAGATTAGTAGAACTTATATACAAAGAATTTTAGTAAAAAAAAATGCAATAAATTTTAAAGTAAGTAATAAAATACGTTAAACACGGACATTCGAAATGAAGGTACGTTTGGGTGCGGAAAAACGACGGCATATTGCAATCTCCCGCATAGCGTATTGCTGTTGGTACTGCGTTGCCTACTGTAAAGAATGTCATGCAACAGTCGAACTAATCAACTGCAACGAATTATTTGCGGCTCCAATTCACGCTTTATATTCCGTTTTTCCGTCAATAATTTTTGTATTATGTAAAAACCAGCAGTAAAAGAGCCGGCGGCAAAATCTGTTTGTGTGCATGCATTTATAATGTATATAGTCTATTTATTATAAATATAAACACATCCTACTAGATCACTAATATCAATGAGCGTCTAAACGTATAAAAAATTCACGGTCGACGATTTGTTTGAGAATTGAATTATTTCTCATATATACGGAAGCGGTATTCACCTTTTTTAACAACATGTTTAAACGCTCATTCATACTTGATACTTCCGGGTGTTAATCTATTTTATTTTCAATTGTATTCTCGATAGTCTTTACTTTTTTCATTTTTGTTCATAGAAAAATCTTCCAATGGCAAATACAATAGCAAAAAAGAGCTATTATTAACAATTGCTCGTTCGCTACCTTTGGCCAATGGCGTGACCAGGGCGTCGTTGCCCTTTTACGAGCGTCATTTCGACGCGCTGACGCGCGTGGCAGACAAGATGACGAGCCGTCCGACGGGAGCAAACCGGCCACTTCCGCCGCCCGCTGACGCTATTCAATGGCGGCGGCGTTACTCGGCCGAAGAGCGGCAATTTTTCAATTTAGCTGCCAATCGGCGCGAGAGTCCCTTGATATGGCGCTTATCTCATTCGCATCGATCTTTTCTTTGCAGCCTCTTTCTTTTTCAATTAACACACCTTGCTCTATATTTTCTCTATAGATTCCTTTTTCTTTTATTTCTCTATAGACTTCAGTTTTTAAAATTTACTTTATTATTAATTAAATTGAGGTTTACCAGTATTTTCATTTCTATTAATAACAGGCCATTGTTTCTCATATTATTTGTATATTTTCTCTCATTTAACCTAGATATTTTCTTTATACTCTTTCATTTTCAATTAACGCACCTTGGCAATTTTCGGTGTACCGGCGGCGGCGATTATAATTACTATTTATTTTCTTCCCGAGAAACATCTGCGCCGGCCGCGAAACGATTACTTGTCACTAGTTTACAGAGTATACATTATTGAATGGTAAAATTTCTGTAATTAGTCGCATGACCAGTAAAGTGTTTACTTTGGTTGAAATATTCATCCTTTCCTATAAACATATCTTAGACTCTCTTTTTTTCATTTATTCATACCATCTCTCTATCTTTTTAAGTTACTTACAAGCTTTATACTTTTCCATTAGATGACTCTATCTCAATCTTTCACTTATTCCGCTGAGCTCTATCTCTCTTACACTATGTCTCATCTTACATTCGTTTAGCTTTGATGTAATTTAACAACTTCTATACATAAATACATATATATATATATATATATACATATATATTACTATATATGTTTATACATCCAGTATTGAAATTTTAAACTATTTCTTCACCTTAGACTTACTCATTCTCTCGCTCAGTAAGAAATTTTTGAATAATTGAACAGGAAGACGTTCATTAACGAGTGCAGTCTGATTAATTTTATAAAAAAAAAGAGAAAAGATAAAGTACAAACCTGATGATATAGTCCATAAGAACTCATACTGCTTCTGGGAACCGTTTGCATCTCTTCAGCCAAAAACGTCGAGTGATAAAACGTAGTGGACGACTGAAAAGCTAGATAGAGTGTATGAAGACGGGTTCTTCCAATCAATTACATATCCAGCCCTGATTGGTCGCTGCCTCATAAATATTAAAGAGTCTCGCCGTATAAGCGTTTCCTGCGCTCGCCTATAGTTTCTTGCTGATTACGCCGTCAATTAATTTATAAATATTGCAGACTAGTGTCTATTATGAATGTTTATGCGTATGTATTTTGTACAATGTAGTGTATACAAAAATATTGTATAGGCCCCGTTTTATATACCTAGATGCGTGAAGGAAAATACATAGCTTTTCCCCGTTTACTAATTTACTTATTTACCATATTTATTATTAATAATTTTAAACATATAAAGAAGCTAGATTTTTTCCTTACTATTCTCTTCAATTCATCTATTCTTTTAATGATATGACCATTGAATTAAGCTACATTGATTTACAAGTCAGAATAATTTGGGATCAAATAAGCTAGCGATGCTATCGGGGGGGCGTCAAATATCGAATATAAATAGAATTTCCCGCGGAAAGTCACTTTGGCTATCTTTCTGCGAGCTAATTTGATACTGAAATTGTCTCAAAGGTGTTAGAAATTAGGTTAACCCGAAAGTAGGCGCAAATTTGAACAAATAATAATGCTGATTCAAAAAAGAGTGAGGCGAAGTTAATTCTTATAATAATTGAATTACACGTCTGTTTTCAAGCTGAGCCTAAACATGTGTTAATTGCCTCAAAAGAACTTGGTTAAAGGTTAATTAATCAAGAGTGAAAAAGACACAACTATAAGCATATGCAAATGTATAAAAATGTATCATGCATAAATAAATTAAGGATCGTAAAATTCCAGAAACGTCGGAAGAAAAGTGGTCGAATGAATGTTTGATGGCGACAGCATCTAATTCCAGCCCCGTCCGCCTCCCAGCTGACACCGACATGGTCATCGCGCACCTGGAAGACAAGAAAGAAGAAAAGGTGTTTTTCTCCACCTATATACAATATGTCGTTCAACATATGTCGACGATGTTTAAAAAGATCCGACGATCGTCAATTGAGACGTTATTGCGCAACAATTATACGGAGAGATAGCTTTTGATCAGTGGTTTAGAATGAGATTTTTTTGTTGAGATAAAGAGAATTAAGAAGGAGGATGGAAAAAAAATGCAGTATTCTATTTTGCAGCTTGGCTTTGTAACTTGTAGCGTGACGCACCTGCTAGGGCTCTTGATTGTTTAACCTTGGCGTTGCATTTCTTTCGTTTGTCTTCTAGTTTGTCGGACCGGAGCGGACACTGACAAGCATTTTCAATCTATTCACCTAATCATTCAGATAATATATTATTAATGAATCGACTATATAAGAAATGTATATACCATTCTTAATAGTATAAAAGAATATGTATATAGAATGGTTAATATAAAGAAACGTTTATTTAGTACATTCAAAGAAGGTATTTCGAGTCTTGCAGACGTACAATCTATCAAGTTTAATACTTTTTAAGCTTCTTGAATGAATATTCATGAAGACGGGGAGAAAAAAGATGTGATCTAAATTTGTAAGGCCTTTTCATTTGGGCCATGAAATGAATGCGTTTTCTTAAACAAGGCTGTTGATAAGCTAATGATAAATATGTGTACAGTGCAATAATGTTCTGTATACCAAATCAATAGATGTTCTATAGAACGTAAAACAAATGAAAAACACGCACAAGTTCCAAAACAGGAAAAACGCCGTAATTGACATCAATTTTCTCTTTTGTTGTTAACAGGTAATTGCTCGCCTATAGATTTTAACAGCGCAAAAGTAAATATACCACTCAATAAATAGCCTGCACAAATCATCTTATGTTCAATCAACCTCCATATTCCACGAATTTTTTTCTTTTTATTCTCTTCTCTTTTCTCTATTAGTTGTTATAATTATCGCCCACCCATTGCCTTAGTTTTCTTTTTCATAGGTAATAATTATTTTGTTGAATTTAACGTTGTTCAAAGAATTATTAGATGTTGAATAATTAAATAGAATACACCTACGAGACTTCTTTATTCGACCAATTTCTTCTTACGTTTGTTTTTGTTTCGCTCTTTTCTTTCCCTATCATTCTCTCTCTCCCTGTCTCGCCTTTTATTATTGGGTATATTATTGTTTCCTTATCTTTTTTTCGTCTTTATTACTCTATTTAGTCACTTTAAACAATGCAAAAAAATTCATTCAATAGAACGTTTGATGTCTCTAATTTTGAATATTAAAATCAAACAAAAAATTGTCACATTCTCATTATCCAGTATTATATGCAACTTTTTGAAAGGAGGACGCACCTGCGAATGTCCCCTTGATCGTTTAAGCTCGACGCCGCGCAAAAAAAATTCGATGACGCGTGACGCTCTAAAAATGCCGATTGTATCAGATCGTCATGGTTTGACGAAACAAATAGTTTGACAATAGATGTTAATACTCCGCCATATTGTTCACGTGTATAGATCAAAGACGTAAGGCGGGTGAGCAAAGTTCGTATTGTTGTAACGGAACCGATTCGGTAACGTTAACTTATTGCCGTTTAAAAGAGCGTTTCTTTTTTATCTAACTTAAAAGAATTTTTTTCACATATTCATCTAAAATCAAAGGACAAAGCTGGATTTTTTTTGGGGTAGCAAGCGTGCATTGATAACCATTGCATCAATTCCCCAAACAGCAATGATAGCAAAAATTTCCTATGCAATTATACATTGACATTTTCATATGGTTAGGTGTTTCTACAAAACATACGTAATAGCGCCTTTGCCTAATTAATAGCAGACGCCTAATTTTATATAGACGCCATCGTCAGAGAGTCTCTTTTCTTTTTCGTTTGCGGTTGAATCGTCGAAACGCGATCTCTTCTTTGATGTCCGAATTTAATTGGAATGCGAATCGCGTGTTGATATTTTTTTACTATAATTTCTACAGATTTTTAAGTGGACTCTCTTTTTTTCATATATACGCAGATATCACGCTATATCCAAGCGAAAAATATCTCGTAATTGATTTAATTCTATCCCTTAACAATTTAACTTAGACCATATGCTTTCCGTCTTCGTTCGTCTCTCTGCGTATATATACGTATAAGTCTATCTGTCTATCCCCCCCTCCCCTCTCTCTCTCTCTCTCTCTCTCTCTCTCTCTCTTTCATACTCACTCACTTCACGCACACACACACACACGGACGAACACACATCCATACATCTATATATACATATGAACATATTATCTATCTTTCTTGACCGATCTCTGTTTTTCTCAATCTCATAATTTTCTCTCTTCATCCAACAAGCAAATGGTACGGATGCCTCCCTATAACGGGTTTTTTATATACAGGAAATTAGCTGAGAATTTTTTATGAAGATTTTTATTCATTTAGAAATTTATGTCCGAGTTAGCTGGCCTATTGATATTTTCTACAAAGTAAACATTTATACAAATCTTCTAGTTTGCGAGCTCTCCTTTCTCCTTAGCGATAGAATTTTCATTAAACTTAGATCAAAGATAGTCGAGAAGGAAATTACCTGTGTAGTTTTAAAGCAAACGCTAGATGGCGTCGTTGATTGGTAAGTTTCTCTCAGAGGGTGATCTTTGTTAAAAGCGTACAATACTAAAAACAAGCTCTAAAGTGCACAGTTTTAGTTGTTTATTAATGATTATTATTTAAATAACCTTTATATAATAAAGGAGTTGAGAAAGAAGAATCTTGAAATATAAGAATTTTATACCCTTCTGATTCTGGTATAGATATAGAAAGGAAAAGGAACGGAATAACAAAGGAAAAAAGTAAACCGTCACCTATTGTGTATAGGTAAAGTATTAGGGAAACTATAGATGGCAGTTCGAACAAAAGGTAATGAGCAACGCTATCTACTGTTTGGATGAGATATTTTATTTTAGCATACATTTTAGAAAAGAAGACAATAAAAAACAAAGTTAAATGTAATAAACAGAATAATAACTATTTCTTAAATTTGATAAGTTATTGTTACAATTTTTAAAGACAAAGTATTAACAATAGTACAGTTGAAGAGATAATAATTCTAGGAACCTTATTTATGTGAAAACATCGAGAACATTCACTTAATGTTATACACAAATGCGGTATATATACAGTTTATATATATATATATATATATATATATATGTATATGTATTAATACATGTATGTTTGAGGTTCCATATATGCATGATGCCGTATTACGCTATATTAGACTTTCATAGATATATATATATATACATACAGTATATGTATATAGGCATATATTTAGTACTGTAGCATTATAAGTACATCTAACGTTTATAAATTATTGAAAATTGCGAAATATAAGGATATTCTTATTGGTACTCTATTTATGATTCTAGATTCATTACTTCTGAAAGGGAGTCTTTATAATCGGACGCAGGTTTCTATTATATATTCTGTTTATTGTTGAATACATTGAAATGTTACGTATATATGAGCTACTTGTTATTCATTAAGAGATTTTTCTAGGTTAAATAGATAGGAAGGACACTCGGAAGATTTTTTTTCCAACTTACCCGATTAGAATAATATATATCAATTGAAATATGAAACATAATCTATTTCTTATACTTTTCATTTAATAAATTTAGCAACTTTTTACTAGATTTGGAAAATGTAACTTTATGTTCTCTTATTAATTTTCTTTAATATCTTTTGTGCTCTCTTTCATTTACTTCTTGTGTGTCATTAAAGAAAAATTTACTTTTCTTCCTTTCATATACAACAAAGAATGATTTTCGACGTCTGAGATGATAAAAGATGACAACAAAGGTCATATTGTTAAGCTGATTCGTGTGAGCAGGTAAGTTTTAATGAACTAAGAAAGGGGATAACAGACATAGGAAGTGTTAATGACAAAGATCAGATCGCTCATAGAAGATCGTTAAGATCACAACAGGATTATTGATAACTTCAGAAAGTCTTTCCAGAGTAATTGTCACAGAATTGTTTTACTTAATGCTCTTAAGGATAATACTAAAAATTCAGATATTATGGATTAACAATCATTTAAATTATTATATGCTTGATTTATATGAAAAACGAGAGTTATCTTTCAAACGGAGCATGATAAAATATTGTTAATCTTTTTAAAAACCAATTATAAGCTTGAATTGCTAAAAAATGACCCTGATTTGGTGTTTGCTCTCATATATCTCACTGTATATACTGTATATATGTTAATATATATTATACATTATATATATATATATATATATGTATATTCTGTATTTTGGTTGTAATTGAAACGACGAAAGGGACAAAATGTAGACCGAACAGAATTCATTAATTTTTTATATCAAATTCAGAGAGTATCTAAAAATATATCAACATAGACGAACATATAAAAAAAGCGAAGGTGATATTAAACGTTTAAGGTAACAACTGAGACTAATGATGTTTGAGAAGGTAAAAATGAGTCATCATTTCTAACAAATATAGCTATTTCTTGTGTATATTTTGTGCAAATTAAAAAAATATATATGAATATATACTGTATATTTATTACTTTTTTGTATTTCAATGTATATTACTTGTTTATAATTATGTATTTTTAACATGTTGAATATTTGGTTACTTTTAATTTTTTATAAAGATGAAAGCCGTGTATTTCATATTTTTTTATGACAATGGAGACACTACAGAAAAAAACCTTCTTAAAAGAAACATTATATAAAATGACATAACGAGAAATGATGCACTACTGAAGTAAAATGTCTTTGTAGTTTAGTATTAAATATATATTCTTTATTCATTTATAAATAATTAGAATATATTAGTTATTTGAAACTAAAGAGTTCAAGGAAATATCAACTATGGTATTGAATATATATAGAATTACCCAACATCTAAGGTATATAATACATATATATTTAACATAGTATATATATATATATATATATTAGCATGTATATATAGAATATACAGTATAGGTACACTTATAAATACATAAATTTGAATATCTCTATTTATTCGAAAAAATACATATACTAATACTTATTTACATATATAATGAATCTAGATAAAAATAACAATTTTATTGCAAATATAAAGCGTAGACTTTAGCGCAAATTACTAATCAAGACAATTTCAGTCAAGCTAAATTGCTAAGAAGCAGTTAGTGCTAAGATAGGCGGCTATTAGCTTGGTAAAACTTCTTTTTTTTTGTAGCCCTTCTTCCCCCTTGACTTTCTGAAATTGTTTTCTATAGTTAATCTATTTTTCCAATGACATCAAAGGTGATAATCAAGAATTATAAATCGTTTTAAATTCGTACTACATATAGGAGAATACACAGCATATTCAATAGGACTTTTAACAAGCCAACCTAAAGATTTCATAAATGAGCGTTTATTGTTTTTTTTATTGCTGAATGAACTGATATTAACTAGGTGCTAAAACTATTGAAATTAAAAAAGTGAACAATTGTTTAGCAGAAGGATACATCAATATTTTATTACACTTAAGAAGCAATATATTCCTATTTAATCAAATTTCAGACAAAAATCATCATTATTATAATTATTCTTAATATATTTTCAAAAGATGTTGTTTAGTAACGACACACACTCAATAAAATTTTCCAGGCGTTTCATTAAACCATAATATCCATCGCTGTCGTGTTTTTCCAAAAGTTTCATTATCGTCTGTACACTTTTTCCTGCAAAATTTCCAGAGTAGTTGTTTTATACGGAAGTATTTTATATTTTATTTTTGATTAACACTATTTCAATCTATTTAATTAACAAAATTACATCCGAGGTATGTATATATAAATGTATCTAAATATAAATGTTGGCAGTTTCTAAAGACAAAAAAGAGGTAAGATAAATGTACTGGATATTCAATATTTTCCCGTTAAATTATTCATGTGAATTCAAATAGTAAAGCAAATGAAAAAACGATGAGAACGATGAAAAAACTTAATACAATTAGAAAAATAGAAGTGTACACAAATATATTTCTATCTCGTTTGTAAAGGAAACAAATCGTTCATTGCTTACTAATATTTGATTTGTGAAAAATAACGCCTTAATCGCTTGCAATTTTAATTATTCACTGTAATAACCTTATTTTTTTTAACGATATAAATATAATCGTCCATATTGTTGTATACATTCCTATCTGTTTACCTAACTTTAGCAGACATGAAAGAATCATATATAGATGTTATAGTCCTATTCTTTTTAAAAGAAAAATACATGGTCAAAAGTTTAATCGTTTATTCAACAATTTTCAAGAATTTAGCAATAATCTCTATATTTTATCTTACTTCTGTTTCTATGAGTGTACTCATAACGAAATTTGTACTTTACACATGTTTATCTGTGGATCTATAAACGTAAATATCTAATTAAACTTCCTTCAATCTGTTTTTTATTTGGAGAAAAAGTTTAGACTTTTTGTAAGTTGGAATTTACTACTTATCGTATAAATATAATAACAGAAAAACAAACCAGTTTTTTCTGAATATGATCGTAAAACCTCCATTGGATTCGAACCACACTCTTTCTGATAACCAGTACAAACTGTGAACAGTAGTAAAACCAAGAAGATTAAACGAAGCATAATTGCTTGATTACTGTGAGATATGCTCTGCTAAGAGCAGAGATGTGGCTTAAATAATTAATTAATAGTATTCATGTATGACTCCAAGATGCCACCTACTTCCGGTTCAAGTCGGTTAATTAAATAAAGTTGACTACAGTTAGTACAATAATAATATTTTTAGCAGTTTTCCGGTTAATTACTTGAGTTCTTTTACAAATGTACGACAAGATAATTTTTGGTATAAGAAAAGTAAAATGTAAAGATTCAGGTTCAATGTACAGTATTGAATTGAAATTCTATTGTTAATATTAATAATGATAATAATAATAATAATAGTCATAGAAATAATAAAGTAAAAGTTTTTACATTAATTAAAAATTATTTTAGGTATGAATTATTAGCTCTTTTTAATTTTAAAGATAAACCAAAACATATTTTTATTAGACTTTTAACTTTTATTCTTTAATTCTTTATTATTTTAAAAAATAAAAATATTGATAAATGTGCAATAAATAAACTATATAACTTAAAAGAATTGGATTGAACATTGAATTTAAAACAAAGAACAAGAGCGCTAATTTAATTGAATATAAGTAACAATTCTGTTAGTTTCCTATGTAAACAATCCTTTTACATATTAATAGTAATTTTTCTAGCAAAAAGGCAAATGTCTAAATTATTCTTTTTAATGTAAAATGATAAGAAGAAAGAATAGGAGATAGACAGATAGGTAGATAGATGTTACAGTAGCAAAAAATAAAATTAGTACAAGTAAATGCATCTTTATATATATATAAGATGTATATTTAGATACATTATGTAAATAAGTATCCATACTATATATTCAGTCTATCCGGTTGTGCATTTTATAAAGAACTACTATGTAGTTTAAATAACAAAAAGTAATTGATTTATTATCACATTAATTCGACTATTGTTGACTTATATTTCACTCTTTTCAAAAAATAAAAGGAAGATAGAATTTGAAATAAAATATTTCTCCATACGAAGTGAAAAGCACTTTGTAGCATTTAGTTTCGTTGAGCAGGTGTAAGCCTATGTTTATAAACAGAAATCATATTTTTAAAAGAGTTTTCTAGTTGGTCTAAACTTGCACCTATCTATCTTTTTTTTTCTTTTTTTTTTCCATCTTTCAACAAATTTCTCTCTTTAGATTAAAATTTGCGAGCAAGTTTTAAGATAAGTTTGTACCAAAGTGGAAACGAAATCGATTAAGTGTAAGCCCACGCTTATGCACGTAGTCACGTTCGGATAAATTTACGTAAACCTAATATTGAATAAATATGATGCTTTTTCAGCCTGAGGCTATACTAAGTACTAATTGCTACTGAATAAGTGTTTTAATTAAAACATATTAGTGTAAAAACCCAACTAATTTTCAGCAGCTAATTTAAGTAGTACTAGATTTAATTAAATTGAAGTAAATAAGAAATTTGAGATGAGAAGTGTTTGGTATGGTTTATTTTGCATTGTTTAAACGAATAGTCTATTCCAGCAACGCCATTTAGCGGTTTTACTTCTCGCTTTGTTGTACTTCTAAGAATGTAGACGGTGTCATCGGTCCCCTTAGTTAAATACGCCATCTACCGACTATTGTAATTTTTACATCAAGTTCCAGTTGCGATTTATACGGGTTTCGAAATCGATGCCTGAGCTTCATTTCTTCCCTCCGACCCAACTATTTGCTCATTTAACAAATCATTAAAACAAGTGAAACTCTTTCAAACTCTTTTCCTCAACTAATTTTTTACATGAATACCATTTGATAAGAGGAAAAATAAGGTGAGAATAATTCTTAATTAAATTTAACGATCGGCCTATTGACTGAATACAATCGGACGATAATTCTCTCTTGTTGCTGAGCGGGGGCGTTAGTGAAGCGTGTTGCAGTTAGTTAGTGGCCTTTTGCAGTTGCAAATTTTTTGCTGTAGCGACAACAGAAATATATTTTACAACTCAGGATACGTATATGCTTTATACAGAAGAAAAAAAAAATGCAACAATATTTTATTGAACGTAGTTAAAGTGTCTGCGGTCAATACAATCGCATGAATGGTTTATCCTGTAAGCTCGGAATTCATTTGAAAAGTTAATGGTAAAATATTTAAAACTTTTAATAACTAATTAAAATATCTTTTATCATTTTCTACTTTTATAAAAATAAAATTTAAATATATAAAAGATCTGAAAAAAATTCAACATCTAAAAAATAACGTCTTTCCTATCTAAGAATTATTATTTAAAGAGAATGAAAGCGAAGAAAATGGCACTTTTCTCAATTTACGTCTAATGAATTATCAATAACTATGTTAAAAAAAGTCGTGTAGGGAATTTATTAGGCTTAATTTGCAATTGAAGAGTCAAAGATTATCATAAAAAGGTTGCATTCTTCAAGAATTAAATATCTCTTTAGGAGTATACATGCATCTATGTTGGGAATATCGGAATTTTTTCTTGTATTTAATGAATTGATTAATCAACTTATGAATAATTCCATTTCTATGATTGTTTTTCCTTGCGCCCTCTATTAAAACTTAATTATTAAATACATAATTTCCAAGTACAATATCTACTAATACACATATAAGTTCATATAAAGATTATATCAACAAGTCTCATGTATAAATATTTACATCTTTACAAATGTACCATAAAGTAGGAGAAGATGATGTGAACTTTTACGTACTTATATCTTTCGTTTCGTTATTTCTTGAAGATAATAGAATGAAGGGAGAGAAGGCGAAAAAAGGGTTAATTCAATAATCTATAATCTGATCGGCTGTATAATTCATTTGCAAACAAAGTAGAAAATATATAAGTAGAAAAATAATATAATATATGAAAATATAAATCTTTTAGTTAAAATTTACCTATTACTAATCGTATATATGTGAATTTACAGGGATAAACAGATCTATATATATATATATATATATATATATATATAACAGTCTATACGAATATACGAATTTAGACAAGATTGCTGTATATTCATATAATCTTTTTTTATGAATCTTTTAACCAATTTCTTTATTTTTATATAAGATTCTCCTTCTTGTAGCTATTTTTATGTCTATTATCATCTACATTACGCCTACTGAAGTGGATAATATAGCGTTTGTATAAAGATGACACTAACAAGAATAAATTAAGTTCATCTTAATAATAAATAGCACGTAACGACCTTACTTTAGAAAAGTAAACTTTTTACGCTAGGCCTATATTATGATACTCATAAAGAATTTGAAGCGATTTGATGATTGCTATTTGCTTAAATTATTATAGACATTTTTTACATCCTTCGTCAAAAAAGGTTATTCAATGACTTTTTATAAATGAATATATAAACGACATATACTAAATAATTTAGGGATAAGCCACTGCCAGTGTAAATTAAACCAACTAGCCGAATCTATTTGCTGCGATACTGATGCGTTTGGTCTAGTAAAATTTGCTTCATTTGCCTTGACTATGGTAGACAAAAATAAAGAATTTAGGTTATGTGTATAACCATAATTACTTTATAGCAGACCTGGGAAATATTTTTCTCCAGCGAAATCCAATAAAACTTAATATTAATATTCGGTTACAAATCTAACAAACTAAGCAGTTAGTTTTATTTAACACTTTTCATGACAATACCTATATTGTATACATTATGCCTAGTGAATTTTTGTATTCAAGAACAATTTTTACATATTCAAACAACGTGTATGGTATTATATTCGCATGTAAATTAGTATAGTCATGAGCTTTTTATACAAGAGTTTCATGTGCGGATCAATTGTACAGCACATACTGCATTTCACTCATAAATATTAAGAGTTTTACATTTATGTTAATATGTATAATCTGTTTAATGTTTAACTTTTTTATAAATACTCTATAGATTTATATAGCTTATAGCATATTCTTTAATATTTGTATAAGATGAAATTAAAATAAATCTCTCTTCTCCCGTCACTAAACAATACACATAACATTTTGAAATATTAGTTAATAGTCAATTAATCAATTGTTGTGTGAGAGAATTATACAATATTTTCCCTCATTTTCATATTGATAAATTGTAAACAATAAAAAGGCAATCCGAAAAGAAATAGTTAGATTGACATTTTCAGATAAATTATCTGATATGATCGCCAAACAACAAAGAAAATGCTTAGTTAGAAAGTAAAACAAAATACGAAAAGAAGAAAAATATACAATTCTAAAACTCTGATTGGGATAAAAGAGAGAAAAAAGCTGCAAAAACTTAATAGTCTAGTTTCTCTCCACGCTTGTTTTGGGGTCTAATAAATGAGTAGTTACTACGATCGAGACACGGTCTGTGTTGCAGGTGAAATTTTTTTTACCTACAATTGAAATACTATGTAAAATATCTATATAGATACCAAGTTTTTTTCCTTTACTGTATACAAACACTCTATTTATATAGCTTAAACATGCTATAACTTGCAGTAATTTTTTTTAAATTAATCGTTTATGTATAAAAATCTATTGCATATTGCAAAAGTTTTTGATTGCTTCTCTGATTTACCCAACAATTTCATTCGTTTATTTACTATAATTTGGTCTGATTATTTTATTGACCTTTTGGAAAACAATCAGCATCTAGGAATATTCCTTCCTTTATCAGTGCTATATTTTGGTTATCTGTCAAAAAAAACATATAAAGCTATTTATAAAAATGTTATTTCCAATATATATACAACATTTCCAGTGTAATTTGCGTAAAGTATGTAATTCCCAAGAAATACTTAAAATAAAAATCTATATATATATATATATATATTTGTATATAAGGTTATATAATTTTGTTTATATAGCGTTCACGTGTATTCATTCATGTGAACAAGTAAATTTATACTGCATATTACATATACGAATGTAGACAAGATAAGAAGAGATTCTGATTTCCTAAACAAAAGCTCTTACTAAATAGACACTTGAGTATGTGAAATATGTACAGTAAACTGTATAGGCTGTATAAAATCTATACACTGTGTGCTATATAAGCTCTATAGTTTAGTTTCTATCAAGACACCGAGTTATTTTTTTTTTATTGTATTCACTAAGCTTAAATGATGCTCTTTGATATTGTCAGTGTTCGGTTGAATAATCTAGACCAAGAAACATTGAAATTGTCTAAATAAAAGCAAGTTAGAAAAGCTAATAGCTTTGGAGGAAAAATACGAAAATATTTATATCTTTTCATTTTTTTTAATATAATATTTTCTTTTGCTGCTGCTGTTCCAGTTTTATAGAAGAAAAATTTCAGTCATTTTCTATTATTTTTATATTATATCATACAGATTATATATATATACTATATATATATATATATATATGTACAGTATATAAATACAATATAGATATATATGCTTCTTCGGGTTTCTTTCAAAGATTATGCAATCACAAGTAATCTGACTGTTTTTTAATGATTATAATTATTTAAATTTGTTAATGAAATAAAACAAAAAAAGTGTATTTACTTCATTTAAATTTATTATATTAGTTGAAAATTAATTATCTCTTAATTAATTAAATTTTTAATGGATTAATTGAATTAGTTGATCTCTTTTTAATGTTTCTATTCTGTGACGGTAGTTATTTTGTAAAAATAGATATTTCTTTCCGATAGAAAGCGTTAAATACATTTGTTACAATTTTATGATTATTTTCTTTTTGATTTTATCAGCGAATGGACGGTGATAAAGAGGAAAATGTGACGCCGAAAACGACTCTTATTAAACATAGACCGAATCAAGAGGGCTCCACAATCATGGTATGAGATTTCTTTACAGGGAGACGCTCAACACTACTAATAAAATAGACATTGTATTTTCTGCTCAATAGTCTTTTAGATCGATATTTACGTATATTACAATATTTTAAAGGCTAAATATCTCTCAAAAATAATTATTCTTTAAAAAGTTAATTACTTAGGTGGGACAAATATTTTTCGTCAGAGCCAATTAGAGCGACAAGTGTAAAATATATAGGCTCTAGTATGCGCTGTGAACGGCTACAGAGATAAGTAATTTAAAGGTAATCGAAAGGAAAAAGAATAGAAATAGGCCAAGTGAGAGATAGAGAAGGAGAGATAGAAAAGAAAGAATGAACTCAAGAGGGAGATATGCAAAAGAGAGGATAAGAAGAAAAAATAATAAAAGAACACAGCTAAAAGTAGTTTTTTTTACAAGGATATAAAGGGTATTAGTTCGATAAGGAGTTAGAAAATCGTTCTGTAAGTTGAATAATTCAATAAATGCAAACTTTATTCAGTTCTCCTATTAGAGCATTTAGCTCTTTACGATCAATCTTTCCTTTCTTCTTCTTCTCTAATTCTTTCTTTTTCTTACTTGATAACCTCTTATTAAGATCCGAATAGACTATTGATATTAAAGAGAAAGTACTTAACAATGAAATGTTGCTAATATTATTTTGTTACCTTTTAAGTCGACTTTACCCTGATTTTGATATCAACAACAGCAGATAGATAGTGCTGAAGAGGGTATAACGGCACAGGAAACGTCTCCAATTAAATTTTCTCATAAACAGGAAGATGAAGAACAAGATGAGGTAATTTGATAACTTCACATTTTTTAGATTTTACTTTTCTTATTATTTTCATTTATCAAGTTTACGAAAAATATATTAAAATGAATATAAACTACTGATACATTGGCTTTTTTCTCATGAATACGCCAAGAACTAGATATAAATCTTACTATGACTAATTTCTATCTTTTTTTCTTCATCTACTTACTTAGAAGTTACTAGGATGCGAACAAGAAAATAAGGAAACGCCTAAATCAACTTTCGTTAAATATAGACCTAACATTGATGGCCCAACCATAACAGTATAATATATAAATTCATTTGTTGAACTGAATAAAAAAGAATATTTTTCAATAGTTTGTTGTAACACCGGTTGATGAAGATCAAATAGATACTACTAACGAAGATGTCCAAAGCAGAGTGGATGGTGATGTTCATCTAAAAGTACCAGAGAGAGTAGCTTCTGATTCCGATTCGACCTATGGTGATACATTTACATCGCAGACGTCTATTACGCGTCTCCTGGCGCAAAAATTCAAAGTGAGTTGTTGAAAAATTAGCCTTTCAGAATATTGATTGAATTATTTTAACAAAAAAAAAACAAATGCAAACGTACTCCTTTTCAAGGAATATAAAGCGGTGAGATTCTCTGAAGCTAGCAGAGAGCAGAGAAAGAGGAGTCTAGAGCCTGGGCCGAGAAGGAGATTAATATCAAAATACGAAAGTCAAGACTATGATCCATGCGAAAATGCATTATTCTTAAAAGAACACGAGAAAGAAAAAGCCCTGGTAAGTGGAATTTCTTTATTTAGGTTATCAGACTTTATTGAATGAAATAGATGAGAATATTTTACTCTATTCTAATTCCAAATGTTTCGAAAGGCATAAAAAAGGGAAAGGGAAAAAAGGGTAAAGAGGGTCGAAAGAGAAGATAAAAACAAAAATCTCCTATCTCCATACATAAATAGATGGATATATTGATATATGCAGTTGATACGTATTTACGAGATCCTTTTAATATTCTCTGATCCTCTTTTATGTTTAGGAGATTTTAGAATTAAATAAAATCAAAAACTAAAACATACCAGCTAGGGTAAAAATAGATGAAAATAACAGATAATATAAATCTGGTAGGGTGTTTAATCTAAATGAAATTTTGATTAATTGCATTAACTAATACAATTAAACTCATTGAAGCTTTATTCTATTGAACCAATTTACTTGGACGGAAATGGGAATGTCGGAAGAGACAAATGAACAATCGACATTTTTATTTCTATTCTCATTTGGTCTTAATATAGTAAATACCAAATACAGCACGTCTTTAAGCATACGCCAATTACTTAGATAGATAAATAAAAAGGGCTACACCCATAAAATGAATCGATTTGACAAATTTATGTTCCTTAAAGAAATATTTACAAAAGACTTATAAATCATCCAGCTTACTCAAGAGATGAAATTACAGAGTTTAGGATGCTAAATATATAACGACTTAAAAATCTGCAAAATGGAATAATTACAATACAGATTTCTCTTTTTTTAATCAACCTTTATCTATTATGATTTTCAATTTATAATTAAAATAATTAAATAATTTCTTATGTAAATAGAACGCCTCTTAGGTGTTAATCATTGAATATTATATATATATATATTTGATCATATATTCAACCATTCTACAAAAAAGGCTGTATTTAAAGAAAGTTTAAGTCAGCAATTTTACAGCCTATCCCTAAAATTTATATTTCAGTATATATCATATATCAAATACAAAACAGTACTAGTTGTTTTTTATCAAAAAAAAGACAAAGAAAGAGAAAATAAGAAAAGCTTACCGAATAGAAAAAATTTTCCTTTTAGAATATAAAAGAATCTGAATCCTTAGTAAAAAGATTAGACAGAGTCTTTTACTGATTCAACTGGCCTATACAAAAATTATGATACTGAAAGCAAGAGAATATAGGAGAATGAAAAATATTTAATTTGCCTTAATGATCTTGACGAGTAAACTATACGACAATTCTAGCTTTAAAATGTTAAAATGCAAAAATTCGAGGATGTAGATTATTGCTGGTGAAAAAACGGAAGTTGACCGAAGAGTTGGTTGAGTGCATCCAGAGTCTATAATTCGCATAAGAGCAACTTTTTCGAAAGCGCTCGCCTTCAAACAATCAATAAAAATTATACATGTACCATAAATAACATACAAATATTAGTAGAATTCTATATCATATATCTTACTACGTCCATTCCGTAAAAGCTTGTTTATAAAGTAGAAGAGTAAGTAGTCCTATATAAAGCATTAGGGAATATTATCTTAAATAAAGACGAGAAATTTTCTTTTAATTAATAAATTAAATTAGAATAAAGAAATTAACATTTTTTAGTAATAAACAAAAAGAAAAGAAATTTAAAAATAATAAATTAACAATAATTAATATAAAGAAATCAAATCCAGCGAAATTCTATATTGGTTAGAATATTTCGTTATACCTTTAGATAGTAATTCTATATTTGTTACCAGAAAATAATAGTAATATGAGATAATAATTAAAATTAGTAAGAAGTCTGCAGAGATTCAATATATGTATGGAATATAATAAAGTACACATGCCTGTCTCTTTCTGTCTCTCTGTCTCTCTCTCTCTACGATCTATGCAGGGTATTTTATTCCCGTAGCTTTTACTTACGATATAACATGTAGTATATGTGAACAAGTTTACGAGCTTTTCTTTCGTAGAATTGTTCGCTGTCACAATCTTTTTTTTATCCTCCAATGGGAAAAACCACTGGAACAGAAAGATTGATTTCTCTTCTATCTAATGGCGCTATCGACCTTCAAACGTTTAAATAGACGCTTTTTATAAAATGAAATTGGACGAAAAGAGAAGAAAATTGATGAAAAATTAAGTCAACAATTTTAGAGAATGTTTTCAGCTTAATAAACATCACTATCGGTTTTAGTAATGAAATTAATTTGATATATAAATCTTAGTGAGAAACTATATATATATACAGAGAGAGAGAGAGAGAGAGAGAGAGAGAGAGAGAGCGAAAGAAAGAGAGAGTAGAGCAATGCTTTAATATATATATTTAGCATATATACTGTATATATATCTGACACATAAGAAAATAAATAAAAAAGGAAAGCTTTCGAGGCGTTTCTTTAATAAACTCTTAATATATTCTATATTTAATAAATAGTTTAGAAGAAAGCATTTTCATGACCTGCAGAGCCAAAGTTCTCAACAATCTCTTATGTAAATATGGAATGTGTAAAATTAGAGGAGATCTTGTAAAATTTTAGACGTAAATTGCTTGACAAATCAATGATTCTTATAGATATTTTATTGATATAATATAGTAATTGTTATTCTAAGCAGAATATTGAAAAGTGTATAAACCAAACTGAAAAGTAATTTATGTTTTCCGTTTGGCGTCACGTGAAATGGAATTTTAAGTAGATAGATTTTGGATTTACACTAACTTCTCTTCTTTAGCAATATTAAGGCAGTAATTATTCTATACATTCAAACTAGATTTGAGTTTTAAAGCCATTTCGAAGCTTCCAAAGTATAACAAAAGCATCTATAAATTTTTTCCTTTTGTATTAGCGAACTTGGTCGATTTGTTAAGATAGCTTTGATTAATTTATTAGGAATTTAATTATTATATTAACAGGTGGTATGGATCTCTAAGATCTTTGATGGCTAGGTTTTAGTCACGCTGTCTCTTAAGATAAATCGAATTAGATCCATCGGTCCAAGTTAACGGCTCCAAATTAAGCCAATCAGTCATCCAATATAATTTTGTTCCCATTCCCTCTTCTTCCATTTTCCCTTTATAAAAAAGATTTGCTATACTAAACTTTAGAGCAAAGTATAGGCTGAAATGTTTTTACACCCTATACATCTTGATTATATAACCATTAAGCAAAATTCTATGAATACAGAAAATCCAACGTAAATGGCTGGCCCGTTGGGTGGTGATGATGCTGATTGGCGTTGGGACGGCGGCTGTAGCAACTGTTATTGAAGTCTCTATCGAACTATGTGCCAAGTACAAGTTTTATACTCTTACAGAACGTAAATAAATCGATTAACGATCAGATACAATTGTTTATATGCAAAAATATTTTATCGGATCGTTTCGTATTAATACAGTAACCAAGATGTGCAAAGAAGACGAATTATGTCTAATTATACCGCTAGTCGTCTGGATGCTCATTAATTCGGTGCTAGTTTGTCTTGGTTGTTTACTAGTCACGAAATTGGAACCTCAGGCAGCTGGTTCTGGGATACCGCAAATTAAATGCTACTTGAATGGCGTAAAAATTCCTGGATTACTAACGTTGAAAGCTCTTCTTGCCAAGGTTTTCGGTGTTATTTTATCTGTGAGTGGAGGTTTAGTTTGCGGTAAGGAAGGCCCCATGATTCATTCAGGAGCGATTGTTGCTGCCGGAGTATCTCAAGGTCGAAGTAGGGTATTCAATAAAGATTTTCGAATTTTTGAATACCTTAGGTAAGTTAATCAAATTACCTTAAGCTTAAAGTTTAATAAACAACTTTCGGTGTTATGTATAGGTCCGATACTGAACGGCGAGATTTTGTTAGCGGTGGGGCAGCCGCCGGGGTAGCAGCGGCTTTTGGGGCTCCGGTTGGTGGTGTTCTTTTCAGCTTGGAAGAAGGAGCGAGCTTCTGGAATCAATTGCTAACTTGGCGTATCGTTTTCGCCTCTATGACTGCTACATTTGTGGTCAACGTCGTTTTATCGGCAGTTCATGGACATCCAGCCGATATGAGTAATCCTGGTTTGATCTCGTTTGGTAAATTTACGGATATAAGATACCGAGTTATAGAAATACCAATTTTTTTGCTTATGGGAGCTTTAGGGGGTTTACTGGGAGCTGGGTTTTGTTCAATAAATGCAAAATTAATTCTTTTTCGTAAGAAAAACATAAGAACAACAACTGCAAAAGTTTTAGAAGCAGTAATAGTTGCAGCCTTATCAGCTGTATCCTCTTTTGTTTGTATGTACGTAATATCGGATTGTGCCAAGAACGAAGTTCAAGGAGAACACCGCAGTGGCAGGTAAATAAAAATAGATATATTAAAGCATAAAATTCTACCGCAAAATTATTCTTGACATCGCACTTAAAATTGTCAAATATGTACTTGTAATCCATGAAATAATTAGTAAGAGCAAACGTAGCCTAATTGATAGGAATTTTTTTCTCTTACGTGTTTTTAACCTTCATACTATTGTTTTCTACTGGCTTTTGTTATTATGTACACTTTTCTATTTGCAATAGGTTAAAGTTTACTTGTCCCGACGGGGAGCATAACATGCTGGCTTCTATCTTTTTTAAGACACCGGAGGAGGCACTTGTCGATATGCTTCACGACAAAACTGACGCCTACTCCGTTAGGAGTTTAATAGTTTTCGTTCCACTCTATTTACTGCTTATGTGTTGGACGTGTGGATTAAGCGTTAGTACAGGATTTTTTATACCTTCTCTGCTAATCGGAGCCGCATGGGGGAGACTTGTCGGCGTTTTTATTCATCGTTACGTTCCCTGGGTGCATACTGATCAAAGTTTGGGAATATATGCATTAGGTCGAATTTCATCAATTCTTTAACGTAAAAAACTGCCAATTTGAGATAAGCTATGATTCTCTATTACCCTCTTTATTAGAATCAAACATTAGCCTTCCTTTTTCCCATTTAAGGTAACTTATTATTTCAAATAGGAGTATAATATTTCACTCCTTACTTCTTACCATACGTACAGACCAACATTTTTACCCTCTACTTTTATCTTCTCTTCTCAAACGTTCTACACCTGCTCTAACATTTTTGTCTATTCAATTTTGCTACCTTGTACAAAATCTAGCTCACTTCAAACAATAATTTTGTCATATTTTCTAATATTGTCTCTTAAAAGCTGGGTGTGTTAGTAATCTATTTTAATAATAATAATAACACAATTATGGATTATGGATTAGCGCCAAAGTGGACACAGCAGGTGTTTTACTTTTTGCTATAATAAACAAAATGTATAGTTAAATACCTTGTTGCATGTATCTAAAACAAAGAAAACTTACTTTGCCCGTTAATTATTTCATATTTAATAAGAAATCAAATTATTTGCCTATGTTTATATTTCTAATCCATTTCTCACTACTTAAATTTTTCATGGTCGTCTCTTTTATTTCTTTTATCCCTTCGACCCCTTTTAAAATTTTCTGAACTAAATTTTATTAATTAACGCCATCTAGCGAACTTTTAATCAATATACTCGTTTATATATAGTATGTGATTGAATTTTTAAGCTTAAGAAAAGATAGAGCAAGAAATCAAGATATCTGATATAGTACACAATATATATATATAGAAATAGGATAAAAATAGATTTAATATTATACTAATTAATAATAGAGAAGAAAAATAATGTAATTTTTACTGCTTAAGGGTAATACTTAATATTTTCTATTTTAAACAACTTTTAAACGATATTTCCACCCTTGAGACATTTATAATTTTACCTGAACCATTTTTCCAAAATCCCTTAGGTGTTTGGATATTTAAATGTCTAAAACGGTTATGTAAATAAACAGCAATTCTTCTGTATGCTACATAAGCAAAAACATAGGAGCTAAGGAAGAAAATTCAGTTAGAAATTTTAACCTTGAGATTCTTTTGATCGATTGAATTTTTATTATATTTTTGCATAATACTCAAGGTTTATTTTATCTTCTGCCTCTTGTTCTCTCTAGTCATTATTAAGATATTTATAAAGATAGAAAAGAAAATTCTATTCTTAGAATTGACATTTCTTGAATTATATTATAGCGATATAAAATAATACAATAATAAGACACGATTCAAGTTTTTTAAATGTTGAAATAATTTATAATCAATGAATTGGCAATTGTTGAAATTTGACTTATCAATGAATAAATAGTTGGTGCAGCATCTCAGCTAGGAGGAACTGTTCGAATGACTATTTCGTTAACTGTTATGCTAATAGAATGTACGGGAGATGTAACTTTTGGTTTACCTGTTGTAATGGTTCTTATAGTTGCAAAATGGGTAGGGGATTTATTTAATGGAGGATTATATGAATTGCAAATACAAATGATGGGAATACCTTTATTACCTTGGGAGCCTCCGGAAATGTCTTACGACATTACAGCGCAAAATGTTATGAATAAGCCTGTTGCCGTTTTTAGGACAACTGAAACAGTTGATCGTATTGTACAAGTAAGTAGAATTTTAGACAAAAAGAAGTATAAATATTATATATGAATGCCAAATTATTAATTATTATATCGTTATATTTAATTAGACAGTCCTACAGAGTAATTTTTTGGCACTTCTGCAGCAAAATATCTAGTTAATTAATTATATTAGAGTAAATTACACATTTTCTCATCCCTTTAATATCATTGACATAATTATTTGGTAGCTAAAAATTAATGTATGATAAAGAGATTTCATATCTTATGAAAGCTTCTTCTTAACTAATTATTAAATTAGATAACGACGTAGCTCTTAAGTGGTATTTTCTAATGCATTCTTATTAAAAGGTGATGGAAAGCTTCCCTCATTCAGGATTTCCCGTTGTGGAACATTATCAACCTGGTAATATCGATTCTTCAACAGAAACATTTGGTAGATGCAAAGGACTAATTCTAAAATCGCAATTGTTACTATTGCTCAAACGGAAATGTTTTAAACCTCGTTGCGGATCGGCAAACTTAAATAATTCCAACAGTGACTCAATTCGGTTGGAAGATTTTAGAGACGCTTATCCTAAACATATGGGACTTTTAGTAAGTTAATTAAATATACTAGATATTAAACGCTGTATAATCTTTATAAATATGTAGAAATCTGTTAAGGGTCTCTCATATTTTCTAAATAATTCCGGTCGAAGGCAAAAAAAACTTAGCTTAACCTTTTATTTTCTTTTTTTCTATAAAAAAAAAAACAAATAATGATCATTATTTTTATTCAAAGCAGCTGGTTATTTCTTTTAATAACTTTATAGTAAGAAGTAATATACTTATATATATATATATATATTAATTATCATATAATATAATGGCTTGTTTAGTTATAAGACCTGCTATAGATTAGTTAAGATAAAGAATTTATTAGATTTGAGCTATTTCTCTTCTTCCTTCATGAGGTGATGTTGTCATGTTAGCTAAAAGAAAAATAGAATAAAAAATAAAGAACAAGAATAACGAAAAATGTATGAAATTTGTAAGCCTCTAGACGCTTGAGAATTTACTTTGGCATTACTATGGGAATTCGATTAAATTTTCTCGCCATTGATGCATTTGGTCTATCTTTCGATAGACGGAATACTAATTTTTTCTCAGTAATAAAATGATTTTGAAGTCATGTTCAGATATATCATTAATATTAATAATAATGTTTACGTGCAGTCTAAAATAATAAGCCAATGAAAAGTTTGTAAGATACTTGTTGATAAAAGGTCAAAGAAGACGGAAGTTGATTAAAAGTAAAGAATAGAAGCTAAAAAAAGACGTTTTCTTTCTCTTTTCTATCGAATTCACTCTAGTAAAGTACTCTTTCTGTTTTTTTTGATAACCTTTTTAGTTTTCTTTTATTAAGGGAAAAAAAAAGGTTTAAATGAATTTTTATTGGAGATTTGCATTGCTTAATAAGTATAGGCAAATGAATGAAAATAATAACATTATTTACAGTTATATGATAATAAATTGATTAGAGAAAGAATTTATAGCCACTAGATTGTATTCAAGAAGTGTATATATATATATATCTATATTTATATATATATATATCTTTACATATGAAATTGACAAATAAAGGATATTAATACAATATCTACTGTTAGAATAAAAAAAAAGCGTTTGTATCAAAGAAATTTTATTGATTTATCACTAATTTATTCACGAAATATTAAATATATATTCCCAAATCGAATTATTGATACCGATCTGAAAATAAAATATCCTTTTTAAGTAAATAATATTTAGTGAAGAAATGAATGCGATTTTCTTTTGAAAAGAAACATTAACTTTCTATTTGAGTAATTCATCTTAATATTAGGAGAAATATTTTTCATAGTTAGTTATTTTCTAGTTCATTTCTATCTGTCTATTTTGGGAATAGCAGGTGTTTTTTCGAGCATTTCGTTTGTTTTTTATACATATTTTTTTAGGAGGTTGACCTCACCGAAGATGAACGAAAATGTATATTAGACGTTAGACCTTATATGAATCCGTCTCCGTATACTGTTACTCAAAATACATCCCTACCGAGAATGTTTCGACTGTTCAGAGGATTGGGATTAAGACACTTGATTGTTGTCAATGATCGTAATGAGGTAGGGCCATCTATTGGTGTACATATAGAAATAAATTTCTTTATGAAATACGTATTTTATTCTCATTTGTTCCCCTTTTTAGGTTGTCGGAATGGTTACGAGAAAAGATTTAGCAAAATATAAATTGAAGTCACGAGGTGTAAACGTTGAACTGCAGAAAATGCATATTCATTGGGAATGAAGAATTCCTTATTGCTCCATTTTTTTCCTATTCTTTTTTATAAAAAGCGTAATATATTGAACATATAGGAATTATACACAACTGTTTCTTTTCTTGCTTTTGACTGAAAGTTTTATTTACTAATGAAACGTTAAACATGTTGATCATTATGTAATATTTTTCAACAGATTGTATTATGTAAGAATTGAACATAGAATGTATTTCTCTCTTTCTATCTCTCTCTCTCTCTCTCTCTCTCTCTCTCTCTCTCTCTCTCTCTCTCTCTATCTATCTCTCCTCCTTTTTTCTTCTACTTGCAATTGTATAACAGATATTTGCTGACCGAAGAAAACATTTTCTACATCGTCTTTAAGAACGAAAGATAAGAGATAGTTCTTTCACAGTTCTGGGACTAGCACTGTAACTTGTTATACATTTTGTTTTGTTTCTTCTCCAAAAAATTTTAATAAAAATTAATACGAAAACTTCCAAAAATCTATTCTTAATGTACTCGCTGATTTTATACAAACACACGTTCGTTTGTCAAGTTCGGTTAGTCTTTATTGATGATATTTTATAGCAATTGTATGAAAAGGAGAAAAGTGAATCAGATAAATTTTTTGTCAGTAAACTAGAGTAAAGTTAAATATGAACATCTTATCTAACAGTAAGGTTTAAGTTCAATGTCATTGTGAAAACTATAGATTTTTTAATATTCACGAATTGCTATAATTTGGTTATAGGTCTGACTTGGCTTCCAAAGGTTTTTATACACTTAAACCCCTTAAATTGAATTAAACGAGAAAGTGCTTTTCAAACTATGATGAGATTCAAATTGTCCAAAATTGATTCTAATCAGAAACTTTCACCTTAAGAATATGGGAAAACCTATAAAAAGATATCTTTTTATAAGATAAATTTTTATCTTATCTTTTTATAAGATAAATTTTAAACTAGATATAGGAAAAATTATACTTAAAGATACGTACAATCAATAATTAAAACAGAACGAGATAATGGATAAACTAGATTGATTGCCAATTTTATATTTAGAATACATCCTCTATGGGAACTATGGGTATTGAATAAACAGAAGGATGAAGTATGAAAAGTAGAAAATGAACGATAAAATAATAAAAAGAAAAGACAAGTGTACCAAAGCCTTGAATAAAAACTACAGAGAATACAAATACAATACAAAAGAGACTCAAGAAAAATTTACTCCACCCTTAACTGTTCTACATAGGCTTATCAGCTTTGAAATTCTGAATAAAATAGTATTGAGAAAATATTTTCTAACTTTTGCAATACAACTATTCAAAGCAAAATATATAATAAAAATTATTCATTATATATGATTTGCTAGAGATGAAGATATCTTATGGAAGTCTTCATTTTTTACGTGTTGATTTCTTTACTTTTTGTTGGGAGTTGTGATAATGTACATTTACTTAAATCACCAAGAAGAGACTGCCCCAGAGTTCAGCATTTAGTATCTACTGTTTGTTCTGAAGCCATTTGCTTAGATACCATTCAAGTAAAGCCTAAAGAAAGGCCTTTAAGCATGAGATATCCAGTTTTAAATGAAAGTCAAATTAAACAACTAAGAGAAATACCAGGATTTATCGATGATAACTGTATGTGGTTGATATCTAGATTATCTGATATGCAATGGATTAACGGAGTATATGGTTGCATTGGTCAAATTGGAGATGCTCATTTAAAAATTATTGGTTTACTCTCATTAAATTTAAATTTCACTTTAGGTGAGAAAATGTTAGTTAGTGAAGAAAAAAATGTTATTTTAGAAAAATCTGATGAAATAGAGACAATTTTAAAAAATATGGGACCACTCAATTATAAACTGCATAAAGGTTATATTGTCAATATGACGTCTGTAAGTGATTTCGAAAGGTTTCGATTTGTTAACATAAATGGTTGGAATGATCTAAATTTATTAATTCGCTCTATGGACTATTCTACTTGTCTTTTAAGAGATGGTGGTATAATTAGTATTGACGAGATAGATGCTCCAGATTCATCAGCTTTACAAGCTGTCGAATTATTTTTGTCCAAGCATGGTACTTCTGTTTTCACTCCTTTCATTCATGCAAAAAACAGACTTTTCCTTACAACAACAAACTATTTCAATAGCTATTATCGCTTTTTCGTAGAGAATCGACATCTATTACTCGCCTACGGATTAAGGGAAGTAAGCTCAAAAAGATTTGGTGCCAGATATTCATACTTTATTTCTGAAGAATAAAAACATTTTTTACATTTTAAATATAAATATATTTTCTACATGTGTTATTTGTCGAATCTACTTTTCGTATATAGAATGTAAGTCTCTCTTCTGGGAAAATGTCACATTTCACGTTTTCAGATGATTAACTGTCATCATCCTCTTTGATGCAATTCTAATCCCTGCTTGCATCTCTTCACTTAACCAGCTGAAATATTTACTTTACTGTCATCATAAAAATACTGGATTTTTTTTTATTCACAATATTCCAACAAAATTGTTATTGCATTATTGTATCTTTTGTTTTTAATACTTTTGTATTGTTCGAATTACTTTTCAAGTGTTTAAAATAGATAAGTTAATTAGTCAAATTAAACATTTTTATCAACTTTTTATATCATAACCTTTGAATTAATCATAAAAATAGAGTGAGAAATAACAGAATGTTCTGTGAATATTTTGATATATATATATATATATATATATACAGGTATATGTATAGATCCATTATAGAAAAAAGTCCAGTGATCATGAATGAGAACGGCGATACAGATAGTTTCAGAATAGAAGTAAAAATTTATTTATGTTTATATGTATTTAAAAGTAATAAATAATCTTATTTTTAATATTAGAAAAATGAAACTCTTAATGAAAAAGTTAACTCTGTTAATGATAATAAATTCAATAACATTCTTAACGAAGAATTAATGAAAACTCCGCGTTTAGAAGACAATAAAGATAGTGAAATATCAATTATATTAACAGTAGATGAAATCAAGTTTATATGGAAAATATTTCTTTCATTTGGGGTAAGTATTTGAATACATTCAGTTAAAAATATTTAAATAGAATACTAAAATGCGTATTATATAACAAAATATCAAATTTATTTTCATAAAATATTTAGCAAGTTACAAATATCTTTTCGCCTTTTTTTCGCTACAGAATTCTCATGATATTAATGTTAATGTCATTGAATCAAGGAAAAATATACTACAGTTCAACAGATACGACATATTTATGACTCTTTCAGGAGGTGAAGAACAGTTGAAGAGCACAATAGATTTATTAAAATCGGTCATTTCACAAGTAGACTTAAAAATTGTTGAAAAAAAGAATTTTTCAAGTTTTGAAGAATCTAAAGGTAGAATTAACCAAATCTATACACTAGAATATATATATATATATATACTGTATATACTGTATATAATATACAATATATAGAATTTATATAAAGAGAGCTACCACGACTTGTTAGTTCATTGTTTATATTAACTGTTAAATAAATAGAAAAAATTTTTTTTACAAGTATTAGAGGTTGGTTTTATGGGATTTGTAGTCTAATTACTCATATATACACTATATTATCCACTTCATTTGTGATTATATCAAAATAAGCTATACAGAAAAACAACGTACATTTTTTAAACTATATAGTATCTTAATAGATTTTATAGAGATACAGGCTCTTTATAAATGTTTTTGTTAACTTCAATTTATGTTCGATAACATATATATAATAATATTCCATTTATAAACTTATTAAATGTCAATTAGATATATGGATTCCAAGGCATATTTCGGATTTGGATTTTTGCAACCATTTGCAAACTAAATTCGATCCAAGTATAGATTCTAATCATCCTGGCTTCTATGATTTGGAATATAGAGAGAGACGTCAACATATAGCATCCTTGGCTTTCTCTTATAAACAGTAAGATTGTATATTATTCTTCAATTTCAGACTATTATATATATAGTCGGTAGCGCGTATATATTTATGTAATATGTGTTATAAAAACCAAGAATGACATTGCTCTTACAAACAGTTCGCAAGAAATACCTAACGTTGTCTATACTGAGCAAGAAATACAAACTTGGTCTCATGTTTACAGAAGCTTGAAAAAACTGTATCCAACTCACGCTTGCCTACGGTTTAATCAAATTTTTGCTAAATTGGAGGAGGGTTGCGGCTATTCTGAACACAATATACCGCAATTGAACGACGTTTCTTTGTTTCTTCAAAAAAGCTCTGGCTTTAGATTACGTCCAGTTGCAGGTTTGTTATCCCCTCGTGATTTTTTATGCAGCTTGGCTTTTAGAGTGTTTCAGTGTACACAATATGTTCGTCACCATGATCGTCCGGAGCATACTGTAGAACCGGATTGTATTCATGAATTAATTGGCCATGTACCTATGCTTTGCGATCCATATTTCGCAAAGTTTTCTCAAGAAATTGGATTGGCGTCAATAGGAGCAAGTGATAAAGATATTGAAAAATTATCAACTCTTTATTGGTTCACAGTAGAATTTGGTCTATGCGGAGAAAATGGTGAAACTCGAGCCTATGGAGCCGGACTACTCTCAGCGTTTGGTGAGTTGAAACACGCCTTGAGCGACGTCCCCGAAAAGCGTCCTTTCTCTTTGGAAGAAATATCCACACAAATCTACCAAGATCAAGGTTACTAACGTAGAATATAAACCTCTTATTATCAAGTAAAAACGCTAACGAATATCTTTTAAATAGATTACCAACCACTCTATTTTGTGGCTGACAGTTTCGAGAATATGATGGAAAAGCTTTTGCAATATTCTTCAACTATTCAAAGACCTTATCAAGTCCAATACGATTCCTATACACAATCCTTAGTTTTGCTTAACAATACGGATATCATCAATAAAACAATTCAATCTATTGATGATGAATTAGCTCGACTGAAAGAGTACCTGAATATTACCATTTGACATATTCTATTCAATGATCAAATATATATATATATATATATATATATATATAATATATAAATGATTGTAAAATTATCTCCTTTTAATTCAATTATAATACATCTATCAATTTCTATTGAAATTGACAAAATACCCTTTAGAGTGTTACTTAATTTTATTTCTGAATTTGTCCTGTAGATGGTGCTGTATATCTTTGTCCAACTTGGAATGTATTTAATTAGGGGTACACAGCTGTCTAATAGAAAAATCGGCTGAGGTCGAATATTATCATAGGGACTTTATCGGTGTATACACAAGAAAACAAGTAATTAAATGGGGCGATTTAAAGGGACAGTTTTATGTTCTTTAGCTTTCCATTGTAGACTGAGTATAATAGCGTTTTGGTGCAAAAGGGAGAAGGGGATAAAGAATGTATATACGTATATTGATTAGGAAGCGTAAGACGTGATTAATAAGACTCTTCTTATGTTCGTGTAAAATTCTCAGCACGCTGTACAGATGTACAGATCGAAGAGACTTTATTGTATTTCGTAACAATTTTCTAAGTAGACTGTATTTAACGCCCTTTTCAATGATGCACAAATAAGGATTTTAACAAAATTAACAAAAAAGATAATGTTTAAAACTTGCACTGATATGAGGAAATTTTTCCTGCATTGAAATATATTAACTTTTTGTTGTAATCAGCTGTAAATTATTAATGCAGTCCATAAACAGGCATTTATTACATAATTTCACTAATATTCATATTACAGTATATGCAAATGTGTATTTTATAATATATATATATATATATATATACATTTGTCGTTGATATCCCTTTTATCGTTGTGACGAATCATTGTCTATGCAAAATGCTAAGAGCTGATATATTCTGCACAGTGATAAATAGGCCTCAATTAGCCTATTTACTCAAGAGTAGAGCAATGTTATAGATAAGCAGAGACAGCAAAGACGACGTTCCCTCTCCCCCCCTCTTTACCCTACCCCTCCCTCCCTTTAAACGTACAACAGATGAGTTTATGACAATTCCATCATCGTTGTTACTGTTTTTTCGTTTGTCTTTTCCTTTTTTTCCCATGTTTTTCTTTATAAAATGGAAGTAATTTATCACTTATGAAAAAGTCTTTAATATATAATATTTACTTAATAATTAATAAATTCTTCCTCTAAGCAATAATAATTAACATTAACAATTGAATGTTGATACGTTTACATGATATATATATATATAAAGGTAAGGTTTAAGATAAATGAATATATGTATATATGTGTATAGTATAAAGATATACTGTATAGTATTTACATGAAAGTAAAAGTAAATTGATTATACCGTCTTTTCTTTTTATTTATATGTTTCAAATTTCGTTGTTGGGAATGAGACTTCTGGATAAAGATGGACGCCATATAATCTTTCAGAGATCTGGTTATTTCTGTTAATAGTTGAGAATTTTTCTTCAATTTCCTCTCTCGTAGGTGGAGGATTTGTTGGAGCAGTACTATATACCAAATTTGCTTCGTAGTAGTCTGAACCTCTTTGCCTGTTCAGAGAGAAATAAAGAAAAGAAACTTTAAAAAAAGAAGAGATCGTAAAAGTTCAATTCACTTAAAACCTGTATCATTCTAATGCAACTAAATGCCCCTTTCTCTTCTCGTCAATTACAACTAAATATGCCAAGGTGAATTCCTCATTGATACTCATGATTAGCTAGATAAAAGGGTTAGCTTTTTTAATTAAGACTTTAAATTTAACTATTAGAGAATACGAGAAGAAGAATTTTCGTTTGTTAATTAATTAGTATATACATATCTAAAGTAAAATATAAAAGCTATCTGTAAAGAGAAATATTGTAAAAGGCGCATTTCTCGAAAGTGAGCTATCATACAGGTGCTAATTAGCGTGTGCGCTCTACCAATCATCAAAGGCAAAAATTTAGGCCTAGCTTGAATCTTGTTTACCAAGAACTCATTGAATCGATCTAAATACCAGACAGTCAAAAAGAGATAGAAGATGAAAAAATTAAAAATAAATTAGTTCACTTTTGCCTTTTTTTACTTTTCTGTAGGTGACCTCTAAGGAGAACATTTTCTTTTAAAAATCGAGTGTTTGGTTTGTCAGTTGAGAAAATAAATAAAACAGAGAAAGATAAAAGTTTTTCTTCTCTTTTTTTATCGTTTGTAAGTTATTAATAATATATTGATTCCTATGAGAATTTATTTGATAGGGGACGCAGTTGTTATAGCATCATCGTTCATTTAATAAAGAAAATATTATTTAGCTGCAGGGTTTTACTAAAACAGTGGAAGAAGACAGAAAAAAAAGTAGTTGTAAACTGGTACAAAATATATTTATACGGTATATATATCTGCGTTTAAAAAGGAAATATTAAAAATTAGCATCTTTTACCTTTCATATATATAAATGTATGTGTATTAGTAATATACTTTTTCCATTTAAGTAAAAGAAATTTGCAGATTTAAACTAATAGAAATAATGATTGTTTTTTTCATAAAGTGTTAAATGAAGACGAAGCAATCATATCTTATTACTTTGTATATTTCGAAAAAAAAAGAATAGTAACTTATAGGTTTTTCTAACTTTTATGTAATTAATCATTATCTCTATGCAGAATATTAAATCTGTGATAAAATCATACGAAGGAGTGAAACGAACCTTTTCAAACAGATTACACCAATAACTAAGATGCTGACGCTTAGTATTAAGGAGACTCCGATTATGATAGCGATCCATAATCCATACGGTAAAGAAACGCCACCCCATCTGACTAGATCGGCAGGTTGACGGTCTGGAAGAGGCAAAATGTTTACTTTTCGAATTATATGGGATTTATATTCTATCTACGCTACAGTGGATACCTCGACTGCAATTTATTTGTTTACCAGCCCAAACACTCCGAGAACAAGTTAACGTCCATGTTTCACCAGTTGAATTGCAGATTACCTCAACCGTTGTTGCTGTTCGCCGCTTAATCCGTGCTCTAAACGGAATATAAGGCTTGGAGCATCCTTCCACTGATAGGATAAGAAAAAAATCCAAAATATTCATCAGTCACACTCATTATTTGTTATTCATTTTTGAAAAATGATACTTATATTTAAAAGGATTTACTTCCTTTGTTAAATCGTATAAAGATAGTTATCAAAAGAAAAAAATGTATAGAAAAACAAGCGCTTTATAAGCTACATGAAAATCTTAGAAAAATTGATGAAAGCTTTGCTAAATCTTTGTCTGTTATATACGAATTAATGGTTAATAAAAATTCTAAAGAGTAAAATCTATACGATAATATACCGTTAGATTATTAAAAAATTTACAATATAAATTATATATTGTAAAATTATAATGAAATTATTAATGAACATAATTTTCTCCACTATTCTAAGTACTTTCGAAAGAAGTTTTACAATATACAATAGGATTAAACAGTAACTCAAATTCTATTATATCTGAACTTTTTTTTTCTTGGCTATGCGTCTCTTTTAAAAAGTGCAATGAAACAGTCTATTCTTGTGAGTTCTTTTCATATTTTATGGATCAAAAACGGGAAGAGATACCCTCTCCGTACATTTAGCTCTCATGAATAGCAGTTGGAATGATTTTGGGATGTTACAGAGGAAAATCAAATTAAATCAAGTGTGTTTTTAAAATGCAACAGGCGTTACAGGCTCTCCCTCGGACGATCGAACATAAAAACCATCTAGATGAATAGTTAGCTGAGATATATAGTGTGTATTTGAGCTTAAAAATAGAACTCTTTAGAATGAAAGAGCTGCACCGAAATTCACCAAATAGACGATGGGAAATGAAGTAAAGTTTTTCTTTCTTTATGAGAAACTGCCATAAATCTAAATAACCTTAAAACATTTACTAAGCTTCTCCTAATGAGAGATAGTCAGTGTTTTTTAGGAAAGTGATCTTCATATACTTAAAATATCTATCCTGTAAATTATATTCACTCCTTTTGTAGCTCGATTTTATAACATGTAAAAGGAAGCCGCAAAGGGGTTGTGTTGTTTACCACAAAATTTGATTCCTTTTGTGAATTCATATGATTAAAGTTTAAGCGTCTAACAAGTAAAAGACTCTTAGTGAAAGTAATGATGTAAAAGAATAAAAGAAAAATCGGAAGTTGATGAGCTTCCTCTTAAATAATTTTTCAATTTCTTTATAGCCTTATTACAAATGACCAATTCAACAATAATCAATAAAACTTTTCAAGCACTGTTCAATATCAATAAGCTACACACATTGCAAATTAGATTGAATATGAAATTGACTTTCGATTTCCTTTAAAAAATTAACGCTCAATGATTTTTTGAAAATAAAAATAAAATCATAATTTTCCTTTTTTTCCGCATTAGCACGTTTTAAAGAATATATACTTTCATCTCTTTTTATAAGTTTTGAAGAGAGAAAACTTAATATCTTTTGCAAAAAGTCTTTTCTCTCTAAGGTGCTCCTCCTTTTTTCTTTTTCTCAATATTAAAAGTAATGCAAAGGGAGTGCTCTATTTGTAGTTCACCTTTAACTAAGTATAGAATATAATTATCTAGAGGAAAAATTCTCTCATTTATATTTTAGTGAAGAAAATCTATCATTTCTGAAAATGTTTCTAATGGAAAAAGTACTCTATTTTGACTTGTTTATAGGGGTCTCTAAGTGTCATGAACATCTAAAGGTATTGCCTAGGGCTAAGGGATATTATAAGTGTCAAACGGTGCTACTTAATCGTAATAGAAATTATTGATTAAACTTTCCATAGAACTATATTATAATTTTTAATTGAAGTTATTTAAAACGGCATTTAAATATTATTTACTGTCGACATATTTACTGTTTCATCAATTTTTATTAACTTTTTTATATACTTAACTAATTAGATCCCCTAAGGGACTATTGAAGCCTTTTAAAGGTCGTCGATAACTTGTTTAGTATTATTAAGTAACCCTTTTTATGCATCGTAATTAAAAAAGTTTACATTTACCTTTATAGTGTAC